GGAAAGAGATGGACCTTTCATAGAGTCCAGTCACGCATGATCCCCTTCTCTCTAGTCTGCTGGACCTGGCACTCGGATGTGTGTCCAGTGAGTTTCAGGCAACTGGGTGGGGATTCAAACTGTTCAGCATGTGGAATCTAGCTACTTTCAACAGTACATACCATAGCACTACGGAGTTAGCACTAGATAACTTTGATGAAATGGACAGATTTCTAGAAAGACTTGAACTGCTAAAAATAGACTCAAGGGACCAGCGAGTGGTGTGGTGGTTAAAAGTGCTAGACACTCCCACATGGCCGACCATGGTTCAAGTCCCAGACCAGGTGACTTGCTTTCTCTCACTTTCTCTCCCTTTCTGTCTCTCTCTGGTGAGTACAAGTGTCCTATAGCAAAATAAAATAATAATAAATTGATTTTTTAAAAAAGACTCAAGACTAGAAAATCTGATAATGTGCCAGCTGGTGCCATGGTGGTTAAGGTAGCTGGATCCCACATGGCTGATTGTGCAGTGAGAGTCCCAAACCCGGTGACTTGAGAAACATGCCTAGTGCATTTGTGCACGTGTGTGTGTCCAAAATCTCAAGAGAGTGGAAGAGAAGGGACTGTGGCATGGCCATCCCCCCAGGAGGGTGATTTCTCACTTTCTCTGGCAAGCACACATGCATCATAACAAAAATCTTTATTTTTTTAAAAAAAAAAAGGACCAGCAGGTGACATGGTGGTTAAGGGCACTTCATTCCCACATGGCCGACAATGATTTGAGTCCCGGATCTGGCGACTTGCTTTCTCACTTTCTCTCTCACTCTGTCCCTCTCTGGCCAAATTAAATAAACTGAAATAAATTAATACAGTTAAAATAAGAAGTAATTATTTTAAAAAGAGAGAGAGAGAGGGAAAAAGGGTTCTTTTTGTGAGGGTTGGTAATAACTTAATTTTTATGCTCAGTTGATATTTGACCAGAATGCCAAGACAATTTGATGGGGGAATAAATGGTCTTGAATAATTCTGAGACAATTAGATATCCACAGTCAAAAGAATGACATTGGGCTCTTACCTGGTGCAAAATAACATGCAAGTTTTTTGGATTTGTAAGAGTAAATAATTTAAATGTATTATGGGAGGTATACTTTTTTTAAGGAAATCTTACTAGTAAATGTGAACATAGCAGTCTGCAGAGTTCCTTAAGCAGCTTCTCTATTTTGGATATGTCTCTTCTCAAATATGCCAATTACTGATGACAATATTTAGCTGTTTTTTTTTTCTTGGATGCTTTCAGAAGTGACCAAAGTTCGAAGAAATCTCTTCAACCAGGAAATGCTTTCTCCTTCAAAAAGATCACTAAAGCGAGGGTTACCCAGAAGCCAGTCTGTGTCAGCTGTGGAAGGTTTGGAGCATAAACCTGAGAACTTAAAGAAGACCAAAGGTGCTACATTTCAGGGTGACCAAGAAAAAGCAGGGTTTGGGGTCAGCAGGTGGTGTGGAAATTAAGGAGCTGGACCCCACAAGGCCAACTGCACAGTTTGAATCCCAGACTCAGCGGCTTGAAAAACACTCTGGGCACATGTGTGCATGTGACCAAAATCTGGAGAGGAGACTACAGAAGTGATTATGGCACGGCCATTCCCCCTGGGGACAGTTTCTCTCACACATATCTCCACCTCCCCTACAACCCCACCCCTCTGGCAAGCACATATACCCTAAAGCAAAAGAAAAAAGAAAAGCACAAAAGAAAAAGCAAGGCTCTTTCTGTGAGGGATGGTAACATAATGTCTCCTTTTTTTTTTTTTTTTTTTTGGAGAGATTTTCACTGTAGGGCGCGTGCGCTCGCCAGACAGACAGAGAGAGACATAGAGACAGAAAGCGAGAAATCACCCCCCAGGGGGGATGGTCACGCCGCAATCCCTTCTCCTCCATTCTCCTCTCGGGATCTTGGGCACGCACGCACACGCGCCCGGCGTGAGTTTTAAGCCACCGGGTCCGGGACACGAACCGCGGTCGACTACGTGGGAGTCCAGCGACATAGCCATTACGCTAACTGCTGGTTCCCATGTCTCCTTTTTCATTCCTGGGTTTGATAGTTTGAGCCTTCCCTCTTTCCTTGATCAGTCTAGATAAAGATTTGTCAGTCTTACTGTTTTTGTTTTTTCCAAATAACTTACTTTTGGCTTCATTGATTTTTCTCCATTTTTCTAATCTCGATTTATTTCCTTTTTATTGCTTGGTTTTAGTTCTTTTTGTATTTTTTGTAAGATGAAGATTAGGTTTCGATTTGAGATCTTTGTTCTTTATTAATACATGCATTTACAGCCAGAAATTTCACCCTGAGCATTGCTTTAGCTGTATTTTATAAGTGTAGGTATGCTGGAGCCAGCAAGTGGTGTAGTGGTTAAGGCATTGGACATGCCCACATGGCTGACCACAGTTTGAGCCCTGGACCTGGTGGCTTGCTTTCTTGCTTTCCCTCTCTCCTTGTCTCTCTGGTGAGCACATGTGCCCTATAGAAAACTTAAAAATAGTAATTATTGAAAACAAAACAACTTCTGGTTGGCTTGTTGTTTGTCCCAGATGTCATCACCATCTCAGGACGCTGTGAGGTTTTACAGTTGCTGCTGATTGTTTTCAGTAACGCTCATGGGGAAAAGGTGGTTTGCACTGGCTAAGTTCTGGGTCAGGTTTAACAGGGACAGGCCTTGTGTGTAACCCTTCTGCCCCATCCAGAGACTACTAGGCTGTTGGTTAATTCTTGCTGTGACTATGGGCTGTTGATCTTCAAGGCTACCTTGGGAAAAGACTGATTTTTGCCAGTGGTCTCTTTTATGGAGGAGAGTTTCTTTTTCTTTCTTTCTTTCTTTCTTTTTTTTTTGAGGTCCCTACTCTACCATTTCTGCTGATGTCACTCCCTCCTACCCCAAGTTTTGCTGTAGGGCTCATGTGCTAGCCAGAGAGAGAGACAGAAATAGAGGGAAAGTGACAGACTGGGGGTATGGCTATGCCACAATCCCTCTTACTCCATCCTTTTGGAATTGAGGCATGCATGCACAGCTTCCCGGTGTGTTTCTCAAGGCCCCATGTCCTGGACTAAAACTGCAGAGTCAGCCCTGTGGGATCCAGCTGCCTTAACCTCTATACCCCTGCTGGCCCCTAAAGGACAGTGTTTTTGGAGGTCCTTACTCTAATTCCTGCTGATGTCACTCCTCTTTCTGATCATTGTTAACCTACTTTAAACCAGTCTTCCCTCGAGTAGCTTGGTTATCCACTCTACTGAAATTTATCTTAAGAGTTACAATTTTGGGGGCCAGCAGGTGGCATGATGGCTAAGGGGACTCCCACATGGTATGGTTCGAGTCCTGGACTTGATGACTTGCTTTCTCACTTTCCCTCCCCACTTTCCCCCATCCTTGTGTGTTTGTGTGTCCTTCTCTGGTCAAATTTAAATAAATAAAGAAAGAAAGAATGCTATTCACAATGCCCTTCACTTTAAAATAAAAAAGAGTTATAATTTTTGTGGCATGTTAGCATTTTCACATTTTATTTCATTTAATCATAAATGCACCAGCTAGGTGGCTGGATGGGTTAGTTCTAACAGGTGAGCACCAGATAAATGTTTCTCTAATAATGTATATTGGCTTTGTCATGATTTAATCTCTAATAATGCTGATAACTTATCTTTGTCATGTGGAGTCTTGTAAGTACAGAACTTGGCACAGAGCCTAAGCTCCACTCCAACTAGGTAAAAAGCCATATATTGAATGTTGCTATTCATTGCTATGCTAGATCAGTAATTACTTATTAAATTTTTAAAAATAATACATGAATGAAATTTAACATAGTAATCTATTTTAAATTTTGATCTTACTAAATTGCTTAAAAAAAAAAAAGTTTAGGGCCCAGCAGGAGGCTGGACTCCCACATGGCTGACCATGTTTTGATTCCAGACCTGGTGGCTTACTTTCTCACTTTCCCTTTCTCTGTGTCTCTCTAGTTAGCACACATGCCCTATACCAAATTTAAAAAGTCAGGGGGTTACCAGCAGTTAGTGTAATGGCTATGTCGCTGGACTCCCACGTAGTCGACCGTGGTTCAAGTCCTGGACCTGGCAGCTTAAATTCACGCTGGGCACGTGTGCACCCGTGCCCAAGATCCCAAGAGAAGAATGGAGGAGAATCAATTGCGGCGTGGCCATCCCCCCTGGGGGGTGATTTCTCACTTTCTATCTCTCTGTCTCTCTCTTTATGGCGAGCGCATGTGCCCTCTAGCGAAAACCTCTCAAAAAAAAATAATAATTCTTGCAAAAAAACTTTTTTTTTTTTTGTGGAGAGTTTTTGCTATAGAGTGCGTGTGCTCGCCACAGAGACACAGAGAGATAGCGAGAAATCACCCCCTGGTGGGGATGGCCACATTTCAATCCCTTCTTCATTCTCCTCTCATTAAGCCACAGGGTTGGGGACTTGAACGTGGTTGACTACGTGGGAGTTCAGTGACCTAGCCATTACGCCATCCTCTAGTCCCTCAAAACGTTTTTTTTAATTTACATGGTCTCTTCTGCTTGGCTGCTACATCTTGATAAGGTTAAGTAAAATTTATGATTCATGCTTCTTTTTACACTTTAGGTTATCACAGACTGCTGACTAAGAGTGTGACCGAGACTCCTGTACATAAGCAAATCTCCAGAAGGCTGCTTCACAGGCAAATCAAGGGCAGGTGCGTGATGTCCTTGTCCAGGCCTCCACACTACCTTCATAATGACCGGTGCTACTGTGTGCCTTCTCTCAACCTCCCTGTCTAAATCTGAACCATGTTGCGTATAACCAGGTAACACTCTGTAAAAATCTCGGAGGGCAGACTTGTGCGGAAGGGACTCTTATCTGACTTCTTTCACCAGGCATAATCATTTTGAGGTTTATCCATATTGTTGCAAGTATCTATAGTGCATCCCTTTTAATTGCTGTGTAATAGTCCATTGAACTGATAATCTACAATTGTTAAATATTTATCTGTTAACATAGGGAAGAGTGTGTCTTTACTCCTGAAGGGGAAGGCTGGCAATCTAGGGATTCTACCTTGGCCCTTGCTAGAGGAGGTATGGCTGGAGCTGCAATTTTTTCACCGGTGATTGGCTGGAGGAGGACAGATTATGTCTGAAGTTATCTGTCTTGCTTGGCTGACCCTTACCTTTGGATTAAGAGAGCTCTTTCCTTGGGGCTTTTTGTCTGCACCAGTTGGTGTACCCGGGTTTTTAGTTTCTCTAGCACTTGGCCTGGGATACATGTACCAGAGAGGTCACCCCTGTCTTTACTCAGGTCCGGAGGTTCCCCAGCTAGGCTGGCTCCCCTCCACCTTTCAGAGTCATTTTTCAGTTTGTTTTATGTATAGTGTCCAGGGCTTGTAGCTGGCCCTGGTCACTGTTAGTTTGAGTGATGAGGGTTAGGGTCAATTTGGGGCAATAGGGTCAGCGTTAGGGTTTGGGTTGTGGTAGGCGTAGCGTTAGGGTTAGATTGAGGGTTAGCGTTAGGGATGAGTGTTAAGGTGAGGGTTGGGGTTTGGGTTATGCTTTGGGTTAGGGTTATGGTTAGGCTTAGGGGTTAGGTTTACAGTTAGGAGCTAGGGTTAGGGTTACGGTTAGAGTTACGGTTAGAGTTAGGGTAGGGTAAGTGTTATGGTTAGATATAGGGTCATGACTAGGGTTAGGGGTGAGGGTTAGGGTTCGTTTTCAAGTTATCTTTCCAGTTTTGGTTAGTGTTATGATTAGAGTCAGGTGCTAGGGTTCGGTCTCAGTGTTAGGCTTAGGGTTAGAGTTAGACTTACAATAGGGTTACGGTTAGGGGTAGATTTAGGTGGAGGATTAGTTTCATGGGTGAGGATTAGGCTTAGGGTTCCGGTCTGGGCTACGGTTTCGGTTAGTGTTATGGTTAGCGTCAGGAGTTAGGGTGAGGGTTAGTGGTTGGGAATAGGGTTAGTGTTTGGGTGCTGGCTAAAACTGGGCGAATGTTAGGGTTAAATTTAGGTTTAGGGTCAGGGATAGGGTTGAGGGTTATGTTTCTGGCTAGGGTCCGGGCAAGGCTAAAGTCAGGAGAAGGGGTATGGTGAGGTTCAGGGGTCATGGTTAGGGTGGGGCGATAGGGTCGGCCTTAAGGTTAGGTTTAGGGTTGTGGAAGGGTTAGGGTGAGGGTTACATTGAGGGTTATGGATAGGAGGAAGTGTTAGGGACAGGGTGGGGGTTTGGCTTGGGGTTTGGGATAGGATTATAGTTGGGCTTAAGGGTTAGGTTTCTGGTTAGGGGCCACGGTAAGGATTACGGTTAGGGGTACGGTAGGGTGCGTGTTATGGTTAGATTTAGGATCAGGGCTAGGGTTAGCGGTGAGGGTTAGGGTTAGTGGTGAGGGTTAGGGTTAGTTTTGGGGTTAGGTGGACGGTTCTGGTTAGCCTTATGCTTATGGTCAGGAGTTAGGGTGAGGGCTAGTGGTTGGTGCTAGGGTTAGAGTTCGGGTTCTGCTTGCAGGAGGGTGAGTGTTAGGGTAAATTTAGGTTCAGGGTCCGGGGTAGGGTTGAGTGATAGGGGTAGGATTAGGGTCCGGGCTAGGCTGAAGTCGGGGTGAAGGGGTACGGTGAGGCTCAGGGGTCAGGGTTACAGTGGGCCGATGAGGTCAGATTTAGGGTTAGGTTTAGGGTTGCGGATGGGTTAGGGTGAGGGTTAGATTGAGCATTAGGATTAGGGGGGACTTTTAGGGTCAGGGTTGGGGTTTGGCTCATGGTTTGGGTTAGGCTTATGATAGGGGATAGGGCTTAGGTTTTGGGTAAGGGGCTAGGGTTAGGGTTATGGTTAGGGGTACGGTTTGGTGCATATTATGGTAAGATTTAGGGTCACGGCTAGGTTTAGCGGTAAGGGTAAGGGTTAGCTTTTGGGTTAGGTGGACGATTTTGGTTAGCGTTTCACTGAGGGTCAAGAGTTAGGGTGAGGGTTAGTGGTTGGGGCTAGGGTTAGGGTTCGGGTTCTGCTTGCAGGAGGGTGAGTGTTAGGGTAAATTTAAGTTTAGGGTCCAGGGTAGGGTTGAGTGATAGGGTCCGGGCTAGGCTGATGTTGGAGTGAAGGCGTACGGTGAGGCTCAGGGGTTAGGGTTAGGGTTACGTTTAGGGTCGCGGATGGGTTAGGGTGAGGGTTAGGTTGAGCATTAGGATTAGGGGGGACTTTTTAGGGTCAGGGTTGGAGTTTGCCTCATGTTTTGGGTTAGGCTTATGATAGGGCTTAGGGATTAGGTTTCGGGTTAGGGGCTAAGATTAGGGTTAAGCTTAGGGGTACAGTTTGGTGCGTGTTATGGTTAGATTTAGGGTCACGGGTAGGGTTAGCAGTGAGGGTTAGGGTTAGTTTTCGGGTTAGGTGGACGGTTTTGGTTATCGTTTCGCTGAGGGTCAGGAGTTAGGGTGAGGGCTAGTGGTTGGGGCTAGGGTTGGGGTTCGGGTTCTGCTTACAGGAAGGTGAGTGTTAGGGTAAATTTAGGTTCAGGGTCCGGGGTAGGGTTGAGTGATAGGGGTAGGATTAAGTCCTGGGCTAGGCTGAAGTCGGGGTGAACGGGTACCGTGAGGCTCAGGGGTCAGGGTTAGGGTGAGGGCTAGTGGTTGGGGCTAGGGTTGGGGTTCGGGTTCTGCTTACAGGAAGGTGAGTGTTAGGGTAAATTTAGGTTCAGGGTCCGGGGTAGGGTTGAGTGATAGGGGTAGGATTAAGTCCTGGGCTAGGCTGAAGTCGGGGTGAACGGGTACCGTGAGGCTCAGGGGTCAGGGTTAGGGTGGGCCGATGGGGTCAGGCTCAGGGTAGGTTTAGGGTTGCGGAAAGGTTAGGGTGAGGGTTAGATTGAGCGTTAGGATTAGGGGGGACTTTTAGGCTCATGATTTGGGTTAGGCTTATGTTAGGGGTTAGGTTTCGGGTAAGGGGCTAGGGTTAGGGTTCAGGTTAGGGATACGTTTTGGTGCGTGTTATGGTTGGATTTAGGGTCACGGCTTGGGTTAGCGGTGAGGGTTAGGGTCAGTTTTCTGATTAGGTGGACGGTTTTGGTTAGCATTTCGCTGAGGGTCAGGAGTTAGGGTAAGGGCTAGTGGTTGGGGCTAGGGTTGGGGTTCGAGTTCTGCTTACAGGAAGGTGAGTGTTAGGGTAAATTTAGGTTCAGGGTCCAGGGTAGGGTTGAGGGATAGGGGTAGGATTAGGGCCCGGGCTAGGCTGAAGTCGGGGTGAAGGGGTACGGTGAGGCTCAGTGGTCAGGCTTAGGGTTACGTTTAGGGTTGCAGAAGGATTAGGGTGACGGTTAGATTGAGCGTTAGGATCAGGGGGCACTTTTCGGGTCAGGGTTGGGGTTTGGCTCATTGTTTGCTTTAGGCTTATGGTCTGGGTTAGGCTTGTGGTCCGGGTTAGGGGTCAGGTTTTGGGTTAGGGGCTAGATTTAGGGTTACGGTTAGGGGTACGTTAGGGTGAACGTTATGGTTAGATTTATGTTTAGGGCTACGTTAAACGGTGAGGGTTAGGGTTAGGTTTTTGGTAAGGTTTTTGGTTAGGTTGATGTTTTTTGTTAGGGTTAGGTTTTAGGATTTGGTTTTGGCATTACGGTCAGGGTTAGGGTTCGGCTTACAGCAGGATTAGGGTTAGATTAAGTTGAGGATTCTGGTCAGGTGTCAGCATTATGGTTAGATTTAGGGCCATGTGGGAGTGTCATGTACCTTAAGAGCCGCACCACCTGCTGGTGCTCACCATGTGATCTCCGTTGCTTTGTTAGATCAGAACCTGCATCTGTCTCCAAGAGGCAATTTTAAATGATATCAGATATTCCTTTTGCTTCTTGTTCCTCAAGGTCCTCTGATTTTGGTCTCAATATTGAAGTTGTTGAAGAGTCCCCCGAAAAAGATGATGGTCAGTACAATGTTTATTTTCTTTTCTCGTTTATTTGTTTGCATTTTACCTAGCTTCCATGATATCTTTTCTTGCACTTGTAATGTACTCCACATACTAAGATATTTTTCAAAAATTGTGATGGTTCTGGGCCTTTAATGCAGCTCAGTATTTATAAGTGAAAGATTTTTAGTTTGTTAGTAGGATGTGTGTGTGTGTGTGCAAGGAGTTGGGGAAAATAAGAAATCATACCCCAGGTGGGATGGCCATGCCATAATCCCTTATCCATTCTCTTCCCGGGATCTTAGGCCTGCATACACACTCAATGTGAGTTTCAAACCACTGGGTCTGGGACTGAAACCACAGCTGGCCATGTGGGAATCCAGTGATGTAACCACTATGACATCTGCTGGCTCCCCAACCCTGTTAGTTTCTTTTTTAGAAAAAGAATTAGTTTTTAAATTTTACTCATTTTTATATTTTTAATTTGACCAAGGATAGAGAAAGGGAAAGTGAGAAAGCAAGCCACCAGGTCTGGAACTCAAACCATGGTAGTCAGCACCCTAACTGCCATGCCACCCACCTCCCTCCCCCAATTTGTTTTTTTAAGAGACACTTAAGTCTTTTTTTTTTTTTAAGAATTATTTATTTCTATTTATTCATTCATTTGTTTTAATTTGACTAGAGAGAAACACAGCAAGAGAGGGAAAGCTAGAAATCAAGCCACCAGGTCCAAGACCCAAACCATGGTTGGCCATGTGAGAGTATCTAGCACCTTAACCACCACGCCACCTTCTGGCCCCCAGAAGTCTCTTAATGCCAGCATTTTTTTTTTCTTGGAGAGGTTTTTGCTATAGGCCATGTGCGCTCGCCACACAGCCTGAGACAGACAGACAGCATGAAATCACCCCCCGGGGGGGATGGCCATGCCGCAATCCCTTCTCCTCTTGGGGTCTTGGGCACGCATGCACACGCACCCAGCGTGAGTTTAAGCCACCGGGTCTGGGACTCGAACCGCAGTTGACTATGTGGGAGTCCAGCGACCATTACGGTAACTGCTGCTCCCCAATGCCAGTATTTTAAAAATTTCTGTCTTCTATGTGTCATTACATAAGTTTTTCCAATTATTCGTTTTAAAAAAATTTGCTATAGGACACAGAGAGAGACAAAGAAAGCAAGTCGCTTGGTCCAGGACTCAAACTGTGGTCAGCCACATAGGAGTCCAGCATCTTAACCACCACACAATCTGCTGGTCCGAAGTTTGCCTATTTTTGTAACTAGTTATTGACATAGTTCTGGTTTTGCAGAAAGAAGTTTAAGACGAAGTCCGCGAATCAAGCAGTTGTCATTTAGCAGGACAAACTCTGGTTCCTTTTATCCTGTATCTCAGCCGAAGTCTCGAAGTGTGCAAAGAATACACTCGTTTCAGCACAATAAGTCAGGTAACCTGTAGGCCTATCTGCCTTTACAAGTCTGTGCTTAGTGGGAAAGTGTTCTGGGGGAAAACATGAAATTTGGACTTTTCTTCCTTCACATTGGAGGAACACAGGTACTGTGTAATTGAGGTTGAGGCAATGACTAGATGACGTGGCCTTTTTCATTAGTCATCTCTGCACTCCTACTACTGGCTGTCCACACTATCCTTAGAGAGGTGTTATTACAGGTCGTCCTTTGTTCATGAGGAAGTTACCCATAATAGTAACCATATAGCCAGATCCTATACCCTCTGGTCCTAGGTAGAAGGTAGTATGTTTGTATGTTCATTCTTTAGTTTTTGCCATAGGCTGTGTGCATTCAACATAAAGAGGTAGAGAGACTGTGAGAGGGAAAGTGAGAAATCACTCCCTTGTGGGGAGCAGCTGCACCATAATCCCTTCTCCATTCTCTTCCTCTTGGGATTTTTGGGCACACATGCACCTGGTGTGCCCCCCCCCCTTTTAATTATTTATCTCCAATTTGACCACAGTCGCCCATGTGGGAGTCCAGCACCTTTAACCACCACGCCACCTACGAGCCTGTTTATTCTTTTATTCATTATTAGGTTGTCTGATTTGTGTTTTTACATTTATATTTACAAATTAAACTATTTCAGTTGCCTCTAGTTCCTAGCATAGAAGCTATCGTCTTACTAAAATTAAGAAAGCAGCAATCATTTGCAGTTACTGATGTCCCAAAGTGCAATATTCCCCCCCCAGTCACTTGTAGAGAAGTCTTGTTGTGGCCCAGCTGTAGTCATGCAAACAGAAAGACACTATTGCTGGGTGGCTGAGGCTGCATAGGAGGCCTGGGTTCCATTCCCAGCCCAACCTAAACTGACCACATGCCTGAACTCGGCATGCTCTCTTCCAACCTCCCTCATGCACACATTCTCTTTAGTTTTTATAGTTTTTGCTATAGAACAAAAGAGAGAGAGGGGGAGAAAGCGAGAAATTTCTTCTCTATTCTGTATGTACACATGCCTGGTGTGTTACTCAAGCCACTGGGTTTGGGGCTTGAATGTCTCAGTTGGCCATGTAAGATCCATCTGTGATAATCACACCTCCAGCTGGCCTCTAACCTCCTCTTTCCAAAAAAAAAGTATTACCACCATTTTTATTGTATGAATTATCTAATGTTGTTTCTAACTTGCAGACCAAAGAGAACATTCTCCTGTCCAAAGTATTCGGTCTCCCAAGAGGCTTCTTTTTGGAGCAGTGTCTGAGATGATCAGTCCCTCTGAGAAGGGTTCATTCCAGATTAAAAGATCTTCAAGAAACATGTTGGATTCTGGGATATCTACAGCCTACCAGGTATAAAGGTTCTATAACATGTAAATCTATAACATGTAAAATAATATAGTCTGGGGTAGCAGAAATGTGGCCAAGGAACCCACAGAGTCCATTAGGGAAGAGAAGGCAGGTGATCTGCAGACTCTATAGACATTCGGGGTATTTGGGTTGAGCCACGTGAATGATTATTGAGCTAGTGGGAACGTAAAGTAGCAAGTTTAGTGGGGACTGAGGCGGTGGGGAGGAGACAGAGGTGGTCTTATCTACTCTCTTGGCTTCATCTACCGTTTATATTATTACTACATTTCTGTCTTTCTGCAATGAAAGTTTGTTCATTTCATTCTAGATGAATGAAAGCCATCTAGCTCTGTTTGGTCACCCACTCTGTCCAGTTTTCATGTCAGAAACCTGGGAGTCATCCTTAACGTCTTCTCCCATGGCAGTCATTCAACTTACTAGTTCTGCCCACTTTATTTACAAACTGTCTCTTGTACCCACCTCTTCTCCCTCCCTGCAGTTCCTGCCCTAGTTCAGGTCTACCTGGAACATGTCAACAGCCCTTCCCAAACACTCTAATCCATTAGTGATCTTCTGAAATGTTCATCTGATTTGTGTTAAATGGTCACTTTCTTCAAAGCTCTGCAGCCTCTTCACCTGCTAAAAGTGGGTCTTAGAGGCTAGGGAAAACATAGAGCTAATGGACAAGGGCTTGAAACTCATACGTCACATGTGCCAGCCAGGTGGCATGATGTTTAAGGTGTTGGTTCCAGACTTGTGGCTTGAAAAATACACTGGGCACGTATGCATGTATGGCCAATATCCCCAGAGGAACATGGAGATGGGACTGTGGTATGACTATCTCTCTCCTGACCTCTGAGAGTGCTTTCTCATTCTCTCTCTCTCCCTCCCTATCATGAAAAAAGAAAAGAAAAGAAAATCACAGGTCACAGGTAGTCTCCTCCACAGCAGGCAGGCCAGGTCCTCCATGGTCTGGTCCCTGCTTGGCCATCCTCGCCCTCACCCTCCTGCTTTACTCTCCAACTTCCCAGCAATATGAGGCTGGGACTGTCCTGTCTATACACAGCTGTTGTTTGTTACCTTTATGCCTTTGCTCACAGTGTGTTCTGTGCCCCAAGCCTCCCCATTTTTCCAGACTTTGCTCCCTCTGCAGACACCCATTCTCAAAGACCTGACTCACGCCTTCCTCCCCTCCACGTAGCTGGGTCACACATCCCTCCTCTGTCCTAAACACTCCTTATATATCCTCACTGAGCATAAACACCAGCTTCACTGGGCTTCCTGTGAGACTAACAAGGAAGGTTGTGGAGAAGATAGTTGTTTGGGCCTGGCTGTGGTGGTGCAAGTGTAGGGCACTGCTGCATTAGGCTAGGGCCGCTTGGGAGGCCAGATGATAGCATGCACCTGTGCTCCTAGCTCACTTGTCAGCTGGGCCAGGAGGATTGCGACATGGTGACACCCTGTCAAAATACCTCTCCATTTCTCTCTCCTTAAATAGAAAAGATAGATGATAAAATCTCCAATAGGTAAGGAGGGCTAATTACATTCCTTGCATAAATAGAACTTTGTTTTTCTGAGATTTTATCTGTTGCTGTCCTCATGTATCTGTAAATCCCAAGCCACTCTCACATGCACACACATGTTTAGTAAACACAAGATCTGCAAATGTGAGTAGCAGGTGAGGCAGCTCCAGGAGGCAGTTTAGGCAGAAGTGAGCAAGAACTATCTCGTCTGTCGAGGGCGAAGAGCTGGGGGCCAGCCATGAATGGTGGAGTGCTACGGTTAAAAATGAATGGCAGCTGAGCTGTAGTATGCAAATGATTCAAGCGATCTGTTCTTAGAATAAAGGTAGACTGGACACAGTACTTGGCCCTAGAAAAAGTGGACTCATGTAACGTCTGACTTCTGTTTTGGAGAGGAAAATGAGTTGCTATTTGAAAGTTCTATCTTAAGACCATGACTCTAACTGGCCAAATCTCCCATTTACTTTGCTAAATCATCTTGGACAATGCTAAAGCACTCCTTTTTTTTTTCAGAGAGAGAGAGAGATTTTTGCTATAGGTTTTATGTGCTCACTAGAGAGCCAGGGAGTGAGAACTCACCCCTGGGGGGATGGCCATGCTGCAATTCCTTCTCCACTTCCTTCTTGGGATTTTGGCCATGTGCACACATGCACCCAGCATTGAGTTTAAGCCACAGGGTCTGGGACTCAAACTGCAGTTGACTACATAGGAGTCCAGCAACTTAACGATTACATCATCTATGGGTCCCGCTAAAGCACTCTTCTGAGAATATGGTTCTAATAGTCAAGCACTAAAGTAAGCATTTTCCTTTTCAGACCCCCAAGAAGAGTTACCGGAAGTCTCTAAGCTTTCCTAAAACTACACCAAGGAGGTTCCCTTGCACATCGGAGACTCCATCGAGCATGCCAGAGAGGCTGCAGAGATCCCCTGCAGAATCGACACCTGCAAAGCAGGCAGTTTTCAAGGAATCCTTAAACTCATCACTGGGCTGTGAGTCACCTGCAGAACCCACAGTCACTCCCGAAAAAGGACACTCCCTGGCAGGAGAGGCCACTCCTCTTGAAACACAGGCACCAAGGACTCCCCCAAGGAAAGGTGCTCAGCCACCTGGGTTTTTGCCCAGTTGTTCCTGGCCCCCCTCAGTGGGTTCTGGGCTGGAAAGCTCCCCCTGCCCAGCATCCACCACCCAGCCCCAGAATGAGTGTCTGACTCCTGCCCGGTACTCTCTCAGGACACCTCCACGAGCAGCAGCCTTCATGGGCACGTCTCAGAATAAAAAATGCTGGCAGCCCTCTGTCCCCGGAGTCCTGCAGCCAGAGGAACCAGCACAGAAACCAAAGGCTAAAGCTGTCAAAACCCCAAGGAGACTAGAGAATAATACAACTATGAATTCTTCCCCACCTGATTCCCCGAAGAAACTATGTACCTCTCCTACAGGCGGGATTTCCAAGAGTCCACCTGGCGTAGAGCCCCCGCTCTCCTATTCTGTTGCTTCAACTCCCCCCCAAATTGCACAGACAGCTACAACTGCCTCTATCTCCTCACCACTGCCTTCCAAAATTGGGAAATGGGGTAGAAAGATCTCAACTTCTGAAAGAAGCTCTCTGGAGTCCTACCCTGACAGCCCAGCTGCTGTCACAGACTCTAGAAAATACTACAAGAAAGTGAGCCCCTCTCCTCACTCCTCTCCTGAAAGACAGAGTTACCTGAGCACTGGTTTCAGGGATACAGCTTCTCCTTTGCTTATTGCAAATGACACTGAGTATCTCACCGTCCTTGATGAAACTGAATGCCATGACCTTGATGACTTGCCAAGGGACAACTCACCAGTAAAAGAAGGTGAGGGGTTAAGGACAATCGTTGCTGATGGGAGGCCTTTTCTGTCTGCCTCTGGGATTCCTCCATCTCCGCCTTCCACTGGGCCCAGCTCTCCTCTGATGCCTTCCTGTGACCTGCACTGTACCACAGACCGAAGGCAATGCCAGGCTGCAGCCCAGCTGAGGAGTCTGCCAGCTTCAGCCCAAATCCAGAAAGCCTCTGCCAGCCCAGAGACCTATGAGGTTGAGCTGGAAATGCAAGCTTCAGGCCTTCCCAAGCTTCGAATTAAAAAGAGAGACCCCAGCTCTTCATTAGAGAATGAGCCTCTGAGAAGGGAGGAGAGCCCTCTGGGAGAGGAGAGCTCCTGCCCAAGTGTCAGCCTGCCCCAGGGCAGCAGGTCCACAGGCAAACCCGAACCCACCTATGTGTCCCCACCGTGCCTCCTCCCCTCACACAGCACACCTGGCAAAAGCGGGGGGCAGACCTACATCTGCCAGTCCTGTACCCCCACCCACTGCCCTTCCAGTACCCCTTCTCCTTTCCAGACAGATGTCTGTGTTCCTTGGACACCATCCCCCAAGCACAGCGGAAAGACAACGCCTGACACGATTAAGGACTGGCCCAGGAGGAAGAGAGCAGTGGATTGCAGCGCTGGCCCCTCTGCTGGGAGGGCTGAGGGCAGTGCGGACCTTCCCGGGGTGCTCCCGCTGCTAGAGTGTGAGGGAAAGGAGCAGGGCCTCGAACTGAGCATCCACAAGACTGCCATTTTAGATTTTGAGCTTGAGGGGGTATGTCAGCTGCCCGACCAATCGCCCCCCAGGGACAGTGAGCCTAAGGCTGAGGAAGTTCCGTTGGAACTGTTTGGGACGGGCTCCAGGAAGAGACCCCTGTCTGCCAAGGAGGAAGCCGAGTACCAAGCCAAGCGGGTCTGTGACAGCCTGAGCGAGGATGTGGACGTCAGTCAGCGTGGTGGGTGGTCCCCAAGTTCCAGTGTGCAGCTGCTTCCCTCCATGGGCGATGACGAGGTGTTCATCTCTGGTGAGTTCTGTTGGAGCCCACTTACACATGGTTTCTGTTGGGCACTGGATTTTGGGTTGCCCCTTGGGGAGGCTCAGGGCTCTCTGGGCTGCACTCACCGTGTGGGTCTCTCCAGGCTCCACCCCTCCTCCGGGCTGTGCCATGCGCAGCTGCCTCTCCGCCAGTGGCCTGCAGGCTCTGACCCAGTCTCCGCTGCTGTTCCAGGGCAGAACGCCGTCCTCTCAGTGCAAAGACGCCAGAGGTAATTTGTCCAAGGTCCGGCAGTGCTGCATGTGGGATGGATGGTGGTGCACCCTTCCCAGAGAAGCTCCACATTGGAACTTGTGTCCTAATAGAACCCCCTCAAAATCCTAAACCACTTGAGCTTTCCTGCTTATGGTGACAGCAGAGGGAACACCACAGCTCATGTATAGTCTTGGAATCTGAATGGGAAAGTGTTCTGAGCCAGCACAAATGACATATCAGGTCACCGGGAACGTCAGACACATTTGTGCACAGAAAAACATGTCATGACTTTCCCAAAGACCTTATATAAATACATCTTTAGAGCCAGCCATTTCCCCACAGGGGGCACACATCTGTGGTTGGCTGCACGTCAGTGTAGTCACCCCTAGGCCTTGACGGTAGTAATCAGTCTATGGGACCCCCCTGGCTCCACCCCTCCTTCCAAGCAGGGAGTGATGTAACTGCAGTGCCTGGAAACAGGCGTACAGGAGCTAGGGGCCTTGGATGGTTCCTGTCCCTAGAGACCATAAATCATGCAAAATAGCATAGTCACAGATCCCATACCTAAAATGAATGGACAGTAGATCAAAGTGAGGATTCAAACCACAGGTTCTCTGCATTTTTACAGTGGCTTGACTCAGAGTATAGCTGTTAGGGGTGGAGGTCCCAATTAAAGTGCAGTTAAGGTAGCTGGATTTCACATTGCTAAACTAAAGTTCGAGTCCTGGCCCTGGAGTCTTGAAAACATGCTGGACACATAATGCATGCCCAGATCCCAAGAGGAGAATGGAGGAGAAGGGACTGCAGTGTGGCTATCCCCCAGGGGGGATTCTTTCTCACCTTCTTCTCCTACCCCCTTCTCTGTGGTGAGCCCACATACGCTCTAGCATATTTAATAATTTTTTAAAAAAAAAGTTACCTTTTCTGCAGGATGAAAGAACCTCCAATTTCTGCCTGCTGAGTGTCTCTGCCTTTCTCTAGATGAGGATGTGGATATATTCCCCTCCACTGTGGAAGACTCTCCTTTCAGCCGAGCCTTCTCCAGGAGACGCCCCATTGGCAGAACGTACACACGAAAGAAACTCATCAGCTAGTCAGGACGAACCCGCTCGGAGGACTTGCAACTACAGACACTACTGAGCTAGAGCAGACCCACTGCATTCCTGGACGTGAGTGCCCTGGCAGTGGTTTTCTCTGGACGTGTTAGGAATTCCAGACTCATACCATAAAGGAATCCTAGCAGTGTGCCCAGAAACAGGAAGAACCAGGGCTAAAGTTCACAGGATGGAGGTGAAGTCAGCCAGGCTATACCCCAGGGGTATAAATTAAGGACTCGGTTCCAAGCGCTTTGATCACAGTCAGCTTTTTGGCTCCCACTAGAATTCCTTAGGGGTTTCTAAACTCCCTTTGTGGAAATTACACCTAGCGTCTGTCCTGATCCACCCCTCAGGCCCTGCTCCTTGGGCAGGTGGAGGAAGTGAGGTGGATGCACAGTGCCTGCTGCTGGTCTGACACCAGCAGCCAGAAGAGCAACTGTAAGGCTAGGATCCCACTGCAGCCACACCCTGACCGTGGTCTTGTCAGGTCCAGATGGACTTTCTGCCTCGCTTTTAAAAAGTAAGGCCCTAGGCAGGGGTCTCTCTGGGCACTGTGGTAAGGCTGGGACTCTGTAAGGTGGACAGTCCTTTGTAAACCGTGAAGCCCAAACAGACTAAAGACTGCACCAGGTGGTGGGTACACTGCATTCCCCACGTACCAATAAAATTGTTTCTGGCCACTTACCATTCAGTGCATTCTGTTCAGTGCGTTGGCCAGAGGTTAACCATGACTGGGGGACTGTCACCTGGCTTGCAGTTTCTACCTGGAGTGTCCCAGGCATGAGCTGGACCAGCTTGCTGATGGGCTTGGCCAAGCACCCAGCTATAGCAAGGCTGACTCCAGCATGTTGGCCTCCATGAAGGGCTCGGCTCTAGCCTGTGCCCTTCCAGAGCCGACTCCTGTTTCATAAACCAGACTCGATGTGAAAACTCATTTCTTCAGAGATTTATTATAAAAGGTCTTTAAAAATCCTAAAAATGTGTTAATAAGTTTCCCACTTACCCCTATATATGTAAGACCATTTCAGCCATAATCCTGTTGCATGTGGCATTCTGGGCCAAGACTTGGCTGTACCCAGAATTGTCCTGGAGCTAATCTTAAACCAAAAGGCGGCAGTTAGGGATTACAGCTTCAAGGAAGTGATTGGGGAGGATTCGCATGTTTTTTAAAACGAGCGTACCGGCCTTTGCTGCTGTGTTGACTCTAGTCAGTGTAAAGATGAAGCCTGGATTTGAATGTGAAGTAAGGACTGTCCTTCACAGAAGCACTTTCAGTAGAGTCAGCGTCTCCCTCCAAGTAGGGATCCGCCCCCAGGACCTACAGGGGGTTTTTCCGGACATCGATCATACCTGGGCTGGTTCTTCGTAGTTCCCGCCGGGACTTGGGCAGGGGCCCCAAGTTCCAGGGCAGGGCTACCTCAGCCACTGGCAGCACACGCCCCACCAGGGACTCAGCAGCCTCCCACTGTCTCTGCTCGTCGGGGGAGCCCTGCTCCTCACTGCTGCATAGGTTCGAGCGCTTCCATGTCAAGGGTAACGGAGCATGGACTAAGTCTCGCACCTCCTCCCGGGTGCAAGGGGCTCCCTCATTGAGGGGGTGCTGCCAGAGCAGCTCTGGCACTGGGTGGGGCTCATCTTCACTTCCAGGGGCTGGCCTGCTCTCCAGGCAGAGGGCTCTCTTCTCCCCACCTGTCAGGAGAAAATCTGGTCAAAGATAGAGGTAACATGTTCGCCAAGACCTTGCTTCCCTAAGCCCCAGCCCAGTAAACCTGGGACTGGCCCAGTGGGAGCACGAGTGAGGTGCTCATCAGCTTTACCCAGAATACACAAACAGGCTGTCAGGGCCATGCAGGCTGATGTCCAGTGCAGCTTGCCCTCAGTCCAACACTCACCCCTGCTGTGGCCTGAGGCGTTCACACTGCACAGCTTCTGTCTCAGTTCCTGGTTCAGCCACATCTGGCGGCCCAGTTCCTTCTCCAGAGCCTGAATCCGGGCCTCATACTGCCTCTTGCTGTCCGCCAGTCCCTCACCGAGGTGGTCTGGAGTGGAAAGGAGCACAGTGGTGAGGGACTGCAACAGGGGGGGGATGGGCTGGGCTGGGCCCGGCCCGGGGCCGCCTCACCTCGGCTCTGCTGCAGGAGCAGCTGGATGTGCTGCTCATGCTCCTTCTGCTGCAGGGTGAGCTGGCGGTCCAGCTCCAGGCGCTGCCGCTCCAGGGCCACCTCCAACCAGTACCCCAGCCTCTGCTGCTCCTCCAGCTGCATCTCTAGCTCCGAGAAGGCCACCTGCTGCTGGTGCTGCTCCTCCCGGAGTGTCACCACCTGCCCGAGACCAGGCCAGGCTCAGCCTAGCCACTGCCCCTGCCCCTGCCCCTTCCCCAGGTGGTGCCCGACCCAACCTGCCACTGTGGCCGCCGTCACTAATAAACCCAGGGGTCTTTTCTGCTGGCCTCAGGTGCCTCCCCAATATTGCAGGCAGCAGTTTCCAAATGATCAGAGATAGGGTCACAATGGAACAGCTCTGCTGTCTCTGCCACAAACCCTCTCCTAGCTACACCCCTGAGCTTCCAGGCAAGCCTCAACTGGGGAATTTCCTCAAGACCAGCATTTCGAACCTCAGCACTAGGGACAGACTGGGCCCATCCTGTGTGTCTCAGACTGGGTAATGGCACCCCTGGGCTCCACCCCCAGCACTGTGACAACAAAAGGTAGCTCCAGACCAGGCCAAATGTCCTCCAGGGGCAAAACCATGCCCTCTGAGAACCACTGGTCTGGGCAGGGCCCACTGGGCCCAGCAGAAGGACTGGAGGAGACGGGAACTGAGCTTCACTCAGTGACACAGGTGACACACTCAGTGATCAGGCAGATGGAGCTGGGCCTGATTTTGTCGCCCCCTACTGGGGAACTGGGGTATTCACTGGAGCTCCATCAGACACCTCACCAGACAAGCTGCAGGAGGAGGCAGGGATTCAGGGTTTGTAGGCTGGTAGCTCACCTTGTCAAAGTACTTGCAGAGTAGGGCTCGGGTCTCTGAGGATGACAGGTAGCTGAGCTTGGCCATGAGGTTCATCTCACACTGGGACAGCAGCGAGGCCGAAGCCCGCAGCACCCGCTGGCGGCATGTGATGGCCTCGTTCTTATACTCGATGGCAGCGTCCAGAGCCTCGATAGCCTCATCCAGCTGGAACAGGGTCCGCTCCTCCTACAAGGACGGGCATGTATGGAGGGCAGTCCTCACGGCCCATGCCTCAGAGCACCCACCCATCTCACAGAGCCACAGCTGAGCCTTGTGTGTCCCCACTCCTGTGAGCAGACAGCTCATCGGGAGTCTACTAGTTATAGTATACACCTTCGAGTGACCTATTAGAACAGCCACAACCGGGGGAGGGCACCTTTGGGACTGCACAGCACCGTCCAGCCTGCTGGGAAAGTTTACATTAACACACAGGCTTTCTCATGCTCAGGGAAAGCAAATGAAGGGCCACGGGGCATGTTGATATGCTTCTGCCTGGCCCCATGTGCATTTCAGACATGTGAGCACATGGTCTAAGGCACGAGGGCACAGGCCTCCAGCTCCAGGCTCTACCTGGACCCCTGCAGCTCATGGGGGGAAAGGGGGGTGCTTGATGGAAGCTCCAGCAAATACCCCAACTCCTCGCAGTCTGGGGGGGACAAACTCAGGCCAACTAGTCTCCAGGGATGTGACGCTATTCTCTGAAGCCTGCCTGTAGAGATGAGTGTTGAAGATTGAATGTGCCTCATGGGGACAGCAAGCCCTACTAAAGTCCCATACAAGGGGACTAACGCTTACTGCTCCACGACTGCTGGGACAACCACACAAAGGGATCGCGTGAGCAGCACAGCCCAGTGCCCACAGAGCCTGAGCAGGGCTGAGGGCAGGTGGACAGACAAGGCCAGGACCCGAGAGTCAGCGGGGTGGGGCGCACAGGGCATACCTCAGGGGACAGCAGGCTGCCCTGCCTCAGCTTGCTGTCAATCTCCAGGCGCTGCTTCAGCAGCGAGTCCTTCTCCTGGCGCAGGCTGTCGATCTCCCCGCGGATCTGCTGCTGGCTCTGGGCGCTGCCCTGCCGCAGCTGCCCGCTCTTCTCGGAGAGCTCCTTCTCCAGGTGTTCCAGGCGGCTGGACACTCGCACGATGTCCTCGCTGAGGGCCTAGAGGTGGAGCAGGCACTGTCAAGGGGCTGGCAGAAAAGGTCCAGCCTCACCCCTGGGTGCTGAGGATGCGGGTCCTTCCTTCAGGAAACCTACATCCAAGGGCCAGTCCCATAGCACATCAGTTAGGCAGTGTGCACTGGGGACCAGATCTTACACAGCCGACTACAGTTTGAGTTCTGGCCCTGGCTTAAAAAATACACTGAGGGACCAGCAGGTGGCATGGTGGTCAAGGCGCTGGATACTCCCACATGGCCAACCACAGTTCAAGTCCTAGACCTGATGGCTTGCTTTCTCACTTTCTCTCTCTCTGGTCAAATTAAAATAAATGAATGAATAAGTAAAATTAAATAATTATTTTTTAAAAAAATACACTGAGGGACCAGCAGTTGGCATAATGGCTATGTCGCTGAACTCCCATGTAGTCAGCTGCGGTTCAAGTCCCAGACCTGGTGGCTTAAACTCACACTGGGCGCGTGTGCATGTGTGCCCAAGATCCAGAGAGGAGAAGGGATTGCGGCGTGGCCATCCTCCCAGGGGGGTGATTTCTCTCTGTCTGGTGAGCACATGCACCCTATAGCAAAAACCTCTCCAAAAAAATAAAAAATAAACTGAGTGTGTGTCTCAAATCCTAATGGGATGGAGAAATAGAGGAAAAAGGATTGTGACATAACCATGCCCCATCAGGGGGTCTTTCTCTTTCTCTGCATACACACCTACTCTCTAAAACATAACTGTATGGAAAAAGAAGAAAACCAGCTAGGGGACATGGTACACTCCCACATGGCCAACTCCAGTTCAAGTCCTAGACCCAGGGGCTTGAAAAACACACGCATACATGCCCAAAATCATAAGAGGGGAATGGAGAAGGGACTGTGGCATGGCCAGCACCACCCCACCCCACACCAGGAAGTGATTAGTCACCTTTTCTCTCTCTGGTAAGTGTACGAACCCTATAGCAAAACTAAACAATTAATAGAATAAACTCGAGGGACCGCGCAGGTGGCCTGGTGGTTAAAGACACTGGACTCCCAAATAGCTGACTGCAATCTACGTCTTGGATCTGGCAGCTTGTTTTCTCACTCTCTTTCTCTGGTCAAATTAAAAAGTAGTGATAATAAACTTAAACATTAAAAAATAAACTGGGGACAAGCTGGACTCCCATGTAGTCAACTGTACTTGAGTCCTGAACCACATGTGTGTGCGGGCCCAAAATCCCAAGAGGAGAATGAAGAAGGGATTGTGGCCATCCCCTCTAGGGGATGATTTCTCATTTTCTGTCTTTTTGGCAAGCGCACACATCCTGTAGTTGAAAAAAAAAAACCTCTTAAACAAACTCGGGCCAGCAGATGGCATAGCAGTATACCGCTGGACGTCTACATGGCTGACCACAGTTCAAATCCTGGACCTGATGATTTGAAAATCATTGGGTCAATCAATTACCACCTTGGGCACATGTGTATGTGTGCCCAAGATTCCAGGAGGAAAATGGAGATGGGATTGCAGCAGCATGGGTGCCCCCCCAGGGTGTGTGTGGGGAGTAATTTCTCACTTTCCCTCTCTGTTTGTCTTCTCTCTGGCAAGTGCATGCACCCTAAGGCAAAAACCTCTCAAAATGATAATAATAAACCAACCCTACAGGGACCAGCAGGTGGCATGGTGGTGAAGGGCATTGGACACTCCCACATGGCTGACCATGGTTAGAGTCCCGGACCTAGCAGCTTGCTTTCTCACTTTCTTTCTCTCTGTGTCTCTGGTCAAATTAAAATAAATGAGTGAATAAAATAATATAAATAATTTAAAAAAACACCTACAATCCAAATGTTTTGCCTGGGATGGGGGCTCTTAGTTCACATAAACTTAGGGGTGGAGCCAGAGAGCAGAGCACCCAAGGAGACCCTACCCCCCAGCAATGGCCGGAGGAGGACAAGGATAAGCAGAGGTCCTCCTGGCACAAAGGGACAGGGCAAAAGTAGGGGATAAAGGCCTGTCATTGAGATGCTGAAATGACCTGACTAGAGCACGTGGTGGGAATTAGGGGAAATCAGTGGTCACACCGCAAAACCCCTTGGGAACCAGGTGTGGAAGAACATGAGGTCTCTAATGACAGAGGAACTGTAGACCAGCAGCGGCAACCTGAAACCTCTTGAACTTCAAAACAGGGCCTTGGCCCTCAGGTCTGGAAGCCCATGGGAATCTAGGCCAAGCTCTGCACTTAAGAGCCTCTGGGTGTGTGTCCAACATCCCCGTAGTGCTCGTGGCAACATTCTGATGCCATCTGACAGACGAACGTGGGCTCAGATTCAGAGGGAGCAATGCCTGGTGGATCCAGGTCCACCTGTACAGCCTGCCTGCCCCCAAAGCCAGTGACGGCACTTTCTCCTGGCCGCACCCTGTGTGCACCTGCTGCTCCTTATTCTATCCACCCATGCCCCCAATCATTCATGAGTGAAAGGAATTATGGATGGATACTTGGAGAGATTCTTCTACGCACATCAGTACCTGTGTCGAAAACATCTGTAAGCTGTAGAGTTCTTGATCCTTGGGATCTAGCCTGGTAGGACAGTGTTTTGCCTGCCTGAACTTACCTGGAGGGCCCTCACGGGTCTAGACCTCACCTGGGAGGACTTTGCCTGACAGAATGCCACCTGGCAGAACCTCACCTCTTAGAACCTCATCTAGTGGCCTCTCTCTTGGCTGGACCTCCCTTACATGCACTCACCTGGCTGGACCGCAGGCGCTTGCTCTCCAGCCCCGACTTCTCCTGCATCAGGGCCTCCTTCTTGGCCAGGATGGCCTCTCTCTTGCGGAGCTCCTCCCCCAGCTCCTCCAGCGCCCGCCGCTGCTGCAGTACCTTCTCCATCTCCTGATCCAGCCACTTCTTCTGCTCCTCAATCTTCTGAGGGGGAAGAGGGAGGCAGGTAGGGCATTCAGGTCCCTGTCTGGCCATCCAGGCCACCACTCATGGGCAGAGCAGGTCAGGCAGGTCCATCCACGATTCCCGGTGCCCCTGGCAGCTGGCCCACCTGCTGCTGCTCCAGGCTGACCACAGAGCCATTGCTGCCACTGCGTCTCTTCCTCTGGAAAGCTGCAATCTCTTCTGTCTTGATCTTCAGGATCTTTTGCTGCTGCTCATGCCTCAGCTCCAGCTCCTGGGTGAGGAGTCAGTGGGCAGGGCCATCCAGGTGCCAGCGTCTTACTCAAGATTGTCAGTGATCCCCAAAACCCAAGATGGCCCTGCACAGCGTTCCCCAGATACCCCACAAGCCTCCCTGCAGACCAGGAAACAGATGCAAACACTGGTCTGGTCCCTACGAAATGCCAGTCCCCTACCAACTTCACCTAGCTGCAGGGTCATCCCATCCTCGAGCTCCCTATATGTGCTTGTTTTTAGGTGGAAAGCAACTCAGAGAGGCTCAGTGAGCTACTTTGTAAGGCCACTTTATGCCCTGAGTGGTGAGACCAGGACAGACTCTGCCTGGGCTCCTCCACCTGGACAGAGGGTGCCTACCCAGCCACGAGCCCCACCTTGACACGGTGCTGTCGCTTGTTCATCTCAGTCTCCAGGCGCCGCTTCTGCTCCGTCTCCTCACGGAGCCGCCTCTGCAGCTGCCCCTGCTGCTGCCGCATGAGCTGCACATTCCTCTCCAGCTCCTGCAGCCGCTTCTCACTCTGGGCTGACAGTGACACCAGCCGCTCCGTGGCCTGCTTCTTCTCCTTCAGCACCTGAGACCCAGAGTCTCTAGTGGGCCATGCGCAGGGGCTGCTATGAGCTTGCCATAGTGCCTGGCCCTCCCCAAGTGTGAGCAGGACTGACTGAGGAATGGATGAAGAGAGATGGACAGGGGCCAGCTAGGTGGAGACAGGTGAGGGAGGTGTTTAAAGCAGCTAGATCCCACATGGCCAACTACACAGTTAAAGTCCTAGGCCCTATGGCTTGGAAAATATGCCAGGTGTGTGTGAATGTGTACCCAAAATCCTGAGAGGAGAACAGGAGAAGGGATTGTGGCTGCCCCCCTTCACCAGGAGTGGAGTTCCCACTTTCCCCTCTCTCTCCCTCTTTCTCTGTCTCCTTATGAGTGTACACACCCTCTAGCAAAAACTAGAAAAAATTAAAAATAAGGACAAAAGAGAAACAGGTGGGTGGGTGACAGACTAAAAATAAAATACTGATAACGGTAGCTACCATAACATTTCCTAGGCATGAGGCACGATAGAAAATGACCATACCCCATTACAGGCTCTGTGTATATTAAATGATCCTAACAACCCAATGAAAGTGTGATCACCGTTGTTCCTATTTTACAGATTAAAAGGCAGGCCCAGAGAGAATAGGAAACTTAACCAAGGACACAGCTTGGGCCTGCACCATGGCACATCACTTCACTGCTGAGTATTGGAAACCAGATTCCACATAGCTGACCAGAGTTCAAATCTCAGTTCCAACAGTTTGAAAAGCAGGCCTGGAACGTGTTTGGGTGCCTAAAATTCGACAGGATGCAAAAGTGGAGGGGTGGGGTTACAGTGTGACTGCCCCGTTGAGGGTGTTCTCTCTGTATGGCTAGCATACATGCCCTCTAGCCAAAAATTTTTTTTAAAATTTTGATTCTAAGAATAAAATGGCATAACATTACTTTTTTTTTGCTATAGGGTACATGCACTTGGCAGAGAGACAGAGAGAGACAAGAGACAGAAAGCAAGAAATCATCCCCACGATGGCCACACCTCAGCCCCTTCTCCATTCTTCTCCTGAGATTTTTATTGTTGTTATTGTTTGTTTTTTTTTTAACAATTATTTAACTTTTTATTTATTTAAATTTGACCAGAGAGGGACAGAGTCAGAGAGAAAGAGAGAGAGAAAGCAAGTCGCCAGGTCTGGGATTCGAACCAAGGTCGGTCATGTGGGAGTTCAGCACCCTTAACCAGCACGCCACCTGCCAGCCCCCCTCCTTTTTTCTTCGAAGAATTATTTAACCTCTTATTTATTCCTCTTGGGATTTGAAGCACACAAGCACACTCCCAGAGTTAGTTTCAAGCTGTCAGGTCCAAGACTCAAACCACAGTCAACCAACTGGGAGTCCAGTGCTGCAAACACCAGACCACCGGCTGGTCCCCATTAAATACATATATATTTTTTAAAAAGCAAATACAGCGGGACCAGCAGTTAGTGTAATGGCTATGTCGCTGGACTCCCATGTAGCCAACCACGGTTCGAGTCCTGGACCCGGTGGCTTAAACTCATGCCGGGCATGTGTGCGTGCGTAGCCAAGATCCCAAGAGGAGAATGGAGGAGAAAGGATTGCAGCGTGGCCGCCCCCCCTCCCCCCGGGTGATTTCTCACTTTCTGTCTGTCTCTGTCTTTCTGGCAAGCGCATGCACCCAAAAAAAAAAAAAAAAAAAAAAAAAAAAAAAAAAAACCTCTCCAAAAGAAAGAAAAAAAAATAAAACAACAAATACAGCTAGTAAGTGGCAGACATGGGATTTAAACCCGAGCTTTAGTAAGGCTTCAAACCCATGCTCTTAACCACTCTACTATAATGTCTCGTGACACCTGAACTGAGAATAGATGGACAGTTGCAAAGATAGATGGACAAGTGGGTGGGATTCTATAAAGGTTAAAAATAGGATGGACGGGGCTTTCAGGTGGCATGGTGATTGGGATGCTAGACTCCCACATGACCGACCATGGTTCAAGTCCTGGACCCGATGGCTTGCTTTCTCTCTATGGTTTAAATTAAGTTATTATTATTAAATAGAAAATTCTTTAAAAAATAAAATAGGATGGACAGTTTTATGAGCTGAAATGTGTCCCTCAAAATTTCCATGTGGCAAGACCTAACCTATTTCTTAGGATGTTACTGTATTCAGATAAAGAGTCTTTAAAGAGGTAACCTGGAACCAGCAGATGGTGTAATGGTTACGTGCTGGACTCCCATGTGGTAGACTGTGGTTTCAGTCCCAGATGCAGCAGCTTGAAACATGCCAGGTGCACGTGCGTGTGTGCCCAAAATCCAGAGAGGAGGATGGAGGAGAAGGGACTGTGGCATGGCCACCCCCCTGGGGGTGGTGGTGGTGATTTCTTGCTGTCTCTCCGTCTTCCTGGTGAATGCATACGCCCTATAGCAAAAATCTCTCTTTAAAATAAATAAAGAAGTAACTCAGGGCCAGCCGGTGGCGTGGTAGTTAATGAGGCTGGATCCCACAGGGTCTACTGCACAGTTCCAATACTGGACCAGGCGGCTTGAAAATCATGCTGGGTGCATGTGTATGTGTGCCCGAAATCCTGAGAGGAGAATGGAAGAGAAGGAAGTACAGTGTGGCCATCCCTAGTGGATAATTTCTCACTTTCCCACTTTCTCTGGTAAGTGCATGCACCCTATAGCGAAAACTTGGAGAGAAAATAAAAAGGTAATTCGGGTTAAATGAAGTTATAAGGGTGGGTCTGAATCCAGTAAGAGGCGGCACCAGGGATGTGTACACAGAAAGGCTATACAGGGACATGGTGAGAAGGTGGCCCCTGCAAGCTGAGGACAAAGACCTTGGAGGAGCCAGACTTGCTGACACCCTGATCTTGGGCTTACAACCTCTAGAACTGCAAGAAAATGTCTGTTGTCCAAGCCAGCTGCTCTGTAGTACCTTGTTAGGGCAGCCCTAGCAAACAGAGGTAGATCATGCGTGGATCAATACACGGGACTGATGGGCATAGATGGGTAAATGGGCAGTGGTTACAGAGCTGGTAGATGGACACATGGACCAGCAAGTAGACAGATGGAGAGGGCAAGACAGAAGGCTGAGTGAACAGAGAGCTGGAGGATGGACAGGTGGGCAGGGGAGGGGAGAGCTGCCCCATGACGGGCAGGTTTTCCTTACATGTTCACCCCTCACCCTCCCACAGGTCTCTGAGGTCTTCAGGCAGCACCTGTCTCCCTGCCTCTGCGCTATTAAAAGCTGAGCTTCCTACAATACCAGCCTTGCCCCCTGACCTAGGAGGCCATGGTTGGCACAGGGCCTGAGTGCACACAGGCTGCACAGTGAGCTTGGGCCCCAAGGCCCACCTGTCCCAGACCCATCGACCCCATCCCCACCCTGAGATTCCAACACTGACCTGCACTTGGCTCTGGGCCGCGGCCACCCTCTTGCGGAACTCCTGCAGCCGAGAGCGCTCACCAGCATCCTGGGGCTCCTTGTCCTCCAACTCCCGCAGCTGCCTCTGGCCTTCACTCAGCTCAGCCCGCACCCGCTCAGCCTCCTGCTCCAGCTCCCGAATGCGCTGGCTGTGCTGGCGGTTCAGGGCCTGGGCTGCCTTCCCTAGAAGAAAGCAGGGTTGCATAACCACAGGTAGTCCCTTTCCCCCAAGAGAGTCACCTGTTCGTCTCTGTGGGAAGTTTCCCAGTCTGTGGGCCATCTGCATGAGTTTTGCCACCAGCCTGAATTTGTACCACCAGACTGGGACAAACTGTTTCCATAAATCAGCTTAAAAGTAACCCTCTGGGCCGGTAGATGGCATGGAGGTTAAGGTGTTGGATCCCATATGGCTAGCTGTACAGTTCGAGTCTCAGGCCAGGTAAATTAAAAATCACACAGGGTGCATTTGCGTGCGTGCCCAAAATCCAGAGAGGAAGAAGGAGAAGAAGGGACTATGGCATTTCTCACTTTCTCTCTCTAGCTCTGGTGGATGCATATGCCCTATAGCAAAGATTAAAAAAAAAAAAAAAAAAAAAGGCCTTATTCACAACAGTGACCCAAAGAAGTAACAAGTTAAATATTTTTGACCTAGTATATGCTAGAATAAATGTGTAACTGAAACCTGCCTATAATTAAGCTTCTAGAACTTCCACTTGCAGGAAATATGGAAGGACAGAGGGACAAGCTAAATGACACCAAGGGAAGCAAAAAGACAAACTCAAAACATCCAGGGTCTGGAACATTCTATAAGAATAAAAGATGTGGGACCAGCAGCATAATGGCTATGTCACTGAACTCCCATGTAGTCGACTGTGGTTCGAGTCCCGGACCTGGTGGCTTAAACTCACGCCAGGCATGTGTGCATGCGTGCCCAAGATCCCTAGAGGAGAATGGAGGAGAAGGGATTGCGGTGTGGCCATCCCCCCTGGGGGGTGATTTCTCATTTTCTATCTCTTTCACTCTTTCTGGCGAGCGCACGTGCCCTATAGCAAAAAACCTCTCCAAAAAATAAAAAAATAAAATAAAAAAAAAATAAAAGATGTGAGAGAAGGGAGACCAGCCATCTGAAACTTGTGTGTGTGGAAAGAGCCTGGATCCTGATTTAAACAAACTCACTATAAACAGGCATTGCTGAGTAACTGGGAATGTATGTTTATGCTCAAGGCACAAAGAGCATGTCAGTCTTGTCAGATGTGCTTTTGGCATTATGGCTGGGCAAAAAAAAAAAAAATGCCCGAATCTTTCAAAAGCACATGCTAGAAGGCATAGGGATGTAAAGATTACTGTCAGGCTAGCAGTGACATGGTGGGTAATTTAGCTAGATCCCACATGGCTGTCTACACAGTTCAAATCCTGGACCTGATGCCTTACGAAACATGACAGGTGTGTGTGCATGTGCCCAAAATCCTGAAAAGTCCCTGTAGGATAAAGGATTGCAGTGTGACCATCTCCTACAGGCAGTTAGAAGGGTGCCTTCTTTCTCTTTTTCTAGTAAGCACACACACCTACTCACAAATTTAAAAAATATACACACAAACACACACACAATCTGGATTTGCTAAGAGGAGAGCTGGTGGGGCCAGCAGGTGGCATGTGGCTAAAGCTCTGAACTCCGACATGCCTGACCACGGTTTGCATCCCAGACCTGGCAGCTTGCTTTCTTGCTTTCTTACTTTCTCACTGTCTCTCTCTCTCTCTGGTGAGTGCACGTGCCCTATAGCAAATTTAAAAAATGATAAAATTAAATAAATCTAAATTTAACAACAATAACAAAAAAAAAAAAAAGGAAAAAAGAAAGAAAAGAAAGGAGCACTAGAACAAATGTGGAAGATCTCATATCTGCTAAGTCTGGGTGAGACAGGTACATGGTAACTGTTACACCAGCATCTTTTTTGACTATACCTGTTTGCAGCTTTTCACAATGAATTTTGTAATAAACTAATTCACAACTATTAAAATAAAAACGTTCAACTAAACGTTCACCTAAAAGCATCCCTTGCTTCTTCACCAGTAGAAATGCGGCATGATCTGGGGACACTCCGTCATCAGTCACTCCCAACATGTGCCCCACAGGACTGAGACCGTGTGCCTAGCACAGTGTCTATAACATAGCTGGCACTTGCTAAAGAAGACTGTACCTACCAAGAGCTCCTCTAAGCTCTTTATTTGCATGAACTCATTTCCCCCTTAAAACAACCCTATGAAGTAGGTAAAATTACTACCCCATCTTAGAGATGAGTAAACTGAGACACGGGGGGGGGGGGGGAGGGGATGCTACTTTCTCAAGGTCATACACCTGAATGAGGCTGAGCTGAGGATCAATCCTTGGCCGCCTGGTCCCTGCTCTTCCCCCTACTGTTGAACCCTAACAGTGCAGGGGAAGGTACAGATGGGCAGTTACCCTCCAGTGGGAGGCCCACCCCAGTGCCACCCCAGTGCCCCCCTCACCTGTGCGGACCAGCTCGCCAATGAGCTCCTCCTTCATGCGGATGTTGATGGCTAGCTCCCGGATCTTCTGCTGGGCCTGGGCCAGTCGCCACTCAGAGGCTGTGGCAGTCAGGCTCTGGCGGGTCTGAACCGGGGCCTTGATCCCACCGGCTGCTGTAACAGGCAGACCATCAAGTTCAACATTGCAACTGACAGTGGGATGGAGGGGAGAGGCATGCCCTGGGCAGGGTCTGCTGGGATAGTGTGTGGACTGTCTGGGAGCAGCCAGCCTAGGACCAAAGAGTGGTAAAGAGAGGCCCTCTCTGTGCCCTGCCCAGCTTACCTCTGTGTCCCAGGATGGCTGCACCCAGGTCTTCAAGCTGAAGCTCTGGGCCTTTCCTGTCCGGTGGACTTCCTGGGTGTGCTCCCACCCTCTGGTTCCAGCTGCTGATCCCATTTCTGGAGGACAGAGTAGGAGTCTGGACTCCCTCCAGTCCTTGTCCCAGCCCAGTCACCTCCCAGGCCTGGAAAGAGGAAAGGGGGCCTCTGGGCCTCCTGGACCTCAGGGGTCAAGGTAAGCCAAGGAGATAAGTCTAACAGAACTGAGGCCAGAGGCAGAGCTCAGGAGGTATAGGGCAGCTGAGGACACCAAGGGTCATCTTGGAGGCTAAGGGTCACAGGCTGGGCCCACTCCACGTGGCAGTCGTCACCTCAATCAGACCTATTGGCTCTGAGATCGCAGCTCCCTGCCTGTTCTCCCCCAAGGGGCTGGCCAAGGTGATGGAGGTGAGGGCACCCTGAGACCAGCTAGGGCTCCTGGCTGCTGTTAAGGGAGGGCACAGTGGGATCCTCATCCTGTCCAGCCCCAGGCCCTGAGCAGTCCTGGCTGGGCGGGCTGTTGGTCCCACGCACCTGCGCACGTGTAAGGTCCGCCTGGGCACCTCCTCCTCGTCCTCCTCATCAGATGCAGCTGAAGAGCCACTTCCTGGCCTGTCCACCTTGGCCAGCAGCTCAGTGCCAGCCTCCCTGCTGTCTGTCCCCTGCTAAGGGAATGTCAGGGCTTTCAGATGGGAATGTTGCCAAAGCATCCTCTAGGAACCTCTTGTCCCACATCCTCCCTCCTGTAGTGTGTCCTGTCTCTCGGAACCTCCTCACGCACCTGCTTCCTCATGCCCTCCCTTGCCTTCAAGCCCCAGCTGAATTGACGCCGCTGGGAAGCATGCTGGATCGCAACCTGCAGCCAGAGCTTCCTGCTCCTCTTTCCTCTCCCCTCCCACTCCCATGGCACCTGGTACTTCTCAGGTGACAGTCTGCCCTTCCCCTGGTGTATAGGTCATCACGCCCAAACCCTCTCTCACCAACAACACCCTGCAAACAGACTTCTGCCTGATCCACAGCCTCTCAGATGCTTAAAGCTCAGATGACCTGGAGCTCTCGGGCAGTGGGAATAGACTTTGTCCAAAAGGCCCCAAGCAGCAAAGCTACAAGCAGAGATGAAGGCTCAGGGATACATGCAGCTCGAATAAAAGTGAATTTGCCAGCGTCCCTTCTTTGCACGACTTCCTTGCGCCTGCCGCCGCTGCCACTGCCACTCGGAGCCATGCCGAGGAGCTGCGCCCCACGCCTGTGCATGCTGGGGGCCCTGCGCGGCCCCTGGGGAGGCGCGCGGCCGCCGGCCAGTGAGCCAGGACCCGCACCGAGGTCATTTTCTTCTGAGACATTCTTGTAGACTTTGCTCTCCCTAACCCCAGCTGGAGTAAGGACATAAGATTCCTCTTTGACCAGTTTATGAAGAAATGTGAAGACAGCTCGTGGAAACAGCTACCTTCATATAAATGTGGATCTACTCAAAGAACTTAAGAGTTCAAAACCTGTTTTCTTGACCCGAAACTGATGAAGGATGAACTGCCACAGGCCCAGCTCTTCAACAGAAGCATTGAGGATGGCCTAGGTTTTGAATATGCGATGTTCTATAATAATGCTGAGGAAAGAGTAGTCTGTTTGTTTCAAGGAGGTCCTTACCTACAAGGAGCACCTGGATTCATTCGTGGAAGTGCAATTGCAACCATGATTGATGCTACCGTTGGTATGACTGCACTTATCGCTGGCGGAATTGTCATGACTGCCAATCTCAACATCAATTATAAAAGACCCATTCCCCTTTGTTCTGTTGTTGTGATAAATAGCCAACTTGATAAAGTTGAAGGAAGGAAATATTTTGTTTCCTGTAAGGTTCAAAGTGTTGATGAGAAGACTCTGCACTCAGAAGCAACAAGCTTATTTATAAAGCTGGATCCTGGTAAAAGTTGGATTTAAGCGAGCTTCTGGTGAATTCTACACATTTTGCATAAGGCTCTCCCTCCTCCAGAAGCAGTTGCCTGCTCCTGCTCTTGGTCACCACCATTGATAGAAGTCTACTAACACGGACCTTTCTGAACATAACCCAGGAACCTGCTCTCCACTTTCTAACTTTTTTTTTTTTAAACAGTCTTGCTGTGTTGTGATATTCTTGCCTCAGACTCCCAGCCTCTGGGACCACAGACACACGCTATGGTGCATGGCTTTTTAAGTTGGTCTGGGAATTAAACCTAAGCCTCCCAAGGAATTGAACCTGCAGAATACATCATCTTAGCAGTGCATACCATCATGACTGGGCCCTTATCTCCTAAACTTTCAACAAAGAAATCCTCCCTGTGAAGGTATAAGCAATTCTTTGTTTCCCTCAGATAAGTATCTGGTTCTTCTAAGATTTTAATGGACTTTAAAGTTGCACAAGTGTGGGAACCAGCAGTTAGCGTAATGGCTATGTCGCTGGACTCCCACGTAGTCGACCGCGGTTCACATCTCGGACTGGGTGGCTTCAATATCACGCCGGGCGCGTGTGCGTGCGTGCTCAAGATCCCGAGAGGAGAATGGAGGAGAAGGGATTGCGGCGTGACCATCCCCCCTGGGGGGTGATTTCTCACTTTCTGTCTCTATGTCTCTGTCTGTCTGGCGAGCGCACGCGCCCTATAGCGAAAACCTCTTCAAAAAAAAAAAAAAGTTGCACAAGTGTGAAAAAAAAAAGTGAATTTGCACAGACAGTGGGGATAGCCTCAAAGGTGATGAGCTCTCTGTTTCTGGAGGTATGCAAGCTTCCCACCTGGGGCCAGATGCCAACACTGCTCTCTAACCTCCTCACTCCAAGCAACCTCCAGCTAAAAAACCCATGGCACTGGGCCCTCCTGCGAGGACACAGTCACCCAATCATGGCCCTTCCTCTAGGGACCCCGAAAGGGTCATGTCCCAGCTAGTCCTATGAAGACACAGGGGAGGATACAGGGGAGGGTCACATGTCCCAGCACTGCACCCCAACACCTACCCAAAGCCTGACCGGTCCAACATGGCCAGCCTAGAAGACACCCAGCCTCAATCACTTACCTCTCCCCACTGCTCAGAACCAACGGAATCTCCAGGGAGGCAGGCAGTGGGGGCCATGCCCAGGACTTGAGTGTGAGCACCCTCAAGGGGGGCTGTGTGAGGCCGAGGCACAAAGGAACCTGGAGGTAGGCCCTGCAGGAGTCCCGGGGCCCCCCAGCCAGGCCGCACCAGCTCCAGCCGCATCCGCAGCTCCACCATTTCCTCCTGTTGCTCACGCAGCCGGTCGCTCTGCCAGAAAAAGAGGGTTCAGGTTCAGGAGCTGAGGGAGCATGGATGCCAGGCCTGAGGCTGCCTCATCTTCTCTGGGTCGAAACTGAGGAGGGTCAGATACTCCTGACACCTCTTCTGCCCACATCCCTAACACACACACACGCTGTGCAGGCTAGTTCTGACTCAGGTTCTCATCCCAAGTCATCACACTCCCGCCACCTCCAACCTCTACCACTAGAGGGCGCCAAGTGCCGCGCTGACCTGGGTAACTCAAGCTCTAAGATCCGACCCTTCGGCCAGATAGGGCATCTCCCATCCAAGCTCACCTCCTCTCCACAAAGCTATCAGGCTTGGAGGTCCCATTGCACTGCACCCGCCCACACGGTTCTGTCCTCACCTCCACGCTCTGTTCACGTGGCGCACTCCCTATCTCTGCACGCACCCAGTATCCCCACCCTGGTGAACCCCCTCTCACCCTGGAACTGAGCTGGGACTTCCCCTTTCTCCCGGGCGGTCCCACCTGCAGTTTGTACTGCTCCATGGCGTCCTCCAATGCAGCCAGAAAGTCTCGGTTCTCCTCCTCCAGCCGCACCACCTGGCTCTGCAAGGTCAGCAGTTGCTGCGCCCCCTCCCCTTCCTGTGGGACACAGTCAGAGGCTTCAGGGGTGGGGGTGGCAAGGAGCACAACCCTTTCTCTGCAGTGCCCCCAGCTCCCGTAAGCCCATGTCCTGTTTCTTCCTGTTCTTCCATGTCCTACCTGCAGGATTTCAGACCTCTCCAGGTGTGGAGTCTCATCTGAAAGCCACTTGGGCCCTCGCCTGTAATTAGGAACTTACTGAGCCCTCATCAGCACGCTGGGTACCTGCTGACACTTTTGGCCCATGCCCCATTCCCAAGAGCAAGTACTAAGGGTCTCCCTATTTTACAGGTGGGAATTCCGAGCCTGGTGAAATTAAGGAGTGACGAGCTGTCAGCAGAAGGGACTCTGAATCCCGAATGTGCTCCGCTAATGGGCAAAAGGGCACAGTTGGCCGAAGCCCCTATCCTTCTCTCCTCCCCCAGGAGGTGGGGGGCGCACACCTGGCCCTTGGTCATCTTTCGCCCGCCGGACCCCTGCGCCGCCTGGTCCTCAGCGGAGGCACTCTCAATGCCACTGTCGGGCCCGGAGGCGGAGCTCAGTGCGCT